AAAAATAAATGAGGTTTAGTTACCATTATATATGATCATGCATTTCATAAGTCTGCCACAACATTAATGTACCCCGTCTTTGGCAGGTCCTACTCTAAGAGTCTAATGTCTGCTCTTATGAGATTAACCGACTTACTTGGGGAAAAAAATTCCATCTGGTGCTCTCTGCAGTACAAGGCTAAATAGGGCCATGGGATGGGCGGAAGGGAAGGGTGCAAAACCAAGTTTATATATATATATATATATATATATATATATATATATATATATATATATATATATCCATATAGAGTAACTATAATTATGTTTAATCATATATAAATAGTACCTATTTTAATAATATTGAATATTCCTCATATTAGCTGAATGTGTGTAAAAGACATGTATATATCACATGCTGTCACATTACTATGTACTACACATAGTTTCACACAAAAAAACAGACACAGGATTACAAGATATAGATAATACTAAAAGTAATTAATTTTATTTTTTAGATTTAATGGATTGCTACAAAGTTCCATTGTATTAGAGATGGTGAAACAAAGGCTTAATGCATCAAAATCTACTTCATGGCCCACACACCAGATGGTCTGTCTGCTAAAAAGGACCAAAAATCCTTTTGAAGATTGACAGATCTGTGATGGACGGCTATCCACAAAGATAGGAATTATGACGTCAAACGCATCATGAAATTCAATTAACCACTTATATAAAGTTGTAGTTGGACTTCCTGACAAGAATTTCTTGTGGTGTTACAATGCCATCTATTGACCAAAGTCTTAATGATAACCTGTAGAGAAGATACACCCACTTGATTTCATTCGCTACTTTAAATTAGTGACATAAAGAAAGTTTAGGGAAGCTTTTCCTTTAAAAATTGAGGATAGCCAAAGAGTGTATCGGATCACCTGGCACACCGACTGGGTACCTCCGTTGATGGATGCTCCTAGCGCTTCTTGAGGATTCCAAACACTCTAGCTGACACCACAACCACCGCAGGCCGAACCTCTCTTCCTTCAGAGCGAAGCAGGAACAAGCTCTTAAAAGAGCTTCGGAGTGACTATAGCAAGGGAATATGCAGAGCATAGCAATCCCTTGTAGCAGATTCTCCCAAAAAGAGACAGGACTCCAAATTGAGGGTGAAGTAGAACTGTCTAAAACTTTATTTTACTTGGGACTAGCCCATATGGTCATTACATTAACATTGCTGTGAAAACTCAATAAAATTACAAACAGTCAAATCATAGCAGGCAACATACAGTGACTTATTATAACATAATTACATATTTATAAATGGGTGGAGAAGACTATAATTAACGCAAAATGTTGCTCCTGCATGCAGAATTAGTAATATGCAAATCTACCCAAATATGCAAATTACCGGTCTTGCTATTCTGGTAGTGCATATTACTGTTGCTACCAACAGAGGGCACTACACAAGTTCCATAGCCAAATCCACCTAGTTGGTAGCAGTACAGGAGAGCAGGCAATACAACCCAAGGGCCATAGTCACATGGCAGGAGGCTGGCAATCAGTCTTCTCCAATGCCCAGTGGCGAGGCTGGTTCCGCCACAAAGAGGGTGAAGTCTGAGATCTGATCACTAACCAAAAGCTGGACACATCTAACTTCTGTATCTCTTCCAATTAATTCTGGAACTTTGAAAAATCTAACACCAACCGAAACGCTAAAAGTTCTAATAATCAGAACTCTTGATAACTTCCTATTTCCAAAATTCTCTACTCATACTTGCATACACCATTCATGGAATATATCTCCAAGCCTAAAGAATTTTTACCAAGACAACTGGTAAATATGCTGGTTTTATTTAATTTAATGTAAATGAATTAATTTTTTACTAAAAGCAGAAATATACCTGGATAAAAGCTGGTCAGATTTCAAATCTAATGACATCAAAATTAGCTAAGGAAATATATGGTTATACATTCCATTACTGCAGGTGGAATAAATGAACAATATATTTACTGATAATTTGCCAAGTTTAGCATATCAAGCTATTATCCAGAGATATTGACTTATCTTAATTTAAGGATAGTTAATATTTATCAGGAAAATCAGGAAAGGTGAATCTTCTAAAATGTAAAGATTTGGTTAGAATTATTTTTTTGACTTTTACTGGATGGAAGAAATAGTTAATTAACTTTTTGGTTTGAGAAATATTTTAATTGTTAATTGCAATATTAAAGGTGCTGAGAATTGTAGCCAGCAGTGAGTGAGTGATTCAAACTGACAGCAAAACGTTTTTATTGCTATAAGCTGTGCTGTTGTGAGACACTGTGAAAAGTTCTGTGTTAAGGAATGTCTAGTTGAAAGTTGAAGTTTTCTGTAATCTTGTTGAAATTTGCATCTATGTGTATATGTTGCTATTGAACTATCTGTAATTGTGTCATAACTGATGCCATATGTAAACTTATGTTATACCAAAATATTCACTGATTATTGTCATGCATGTTACATATTATTATTATTATTATTATTATTATTATTAATTATTTGGCACAATAAATTATATTTTTATAATTAGTTTGTGAATAATGTGTAAAATACAGATTATCTAATAAATGCACTCCAGGGTCTATAAGAGTTAAAATAGTGGGTAACTCTTCACTTTAAATCAATCAAGGGGAACAGTGCCAATATATAAATTTTTTATATAATAAAGGTTATTAAATTATTTTTTGATCATTTTTATGAAAATAGTATATATTTTTTTTTAATTCTTTATTTTGTCGTGCAGAGTTTAAACATGTGGGTTTGCACTGCCACAACAGCTGGTGCAACCAGGTTTGTATTCACATTTAATCACATGGTGTAACGGAGCTCCCTGTACTCCGACCGAGTACCCTCCATTGATGGATGCTCCTAGCGCTTCCTGAGGACTCCAAACACTGCAGCAGACACCACAACCACCGCAGACTCCACAACTGCCGTAGCTTAACTGGAGTCTCACATTCTTCCTTCCACCCTGGATCAGCTTCTGTCCTCCAGGACTGTGTGGGGAAGACCTCTCCTCCAGGAGAGCGTAACAGGAACAGCTCTTAAAAGAGCTAAGTGATTAAAAGCTCAGGGGAATATGCAGAGCATAGCAATCCCCAGTATGATATAGCAGTTCCCTCCAATAACGAGACAAGGCTACGTATTGAGGGTCAAGAAGATCTGTTTACTTGGCACCAAAGGCCTTCTTTTATGCGGGTTTAACACATCCAGGACCGCCCACAGGGGTTTACAGAACAGCCAATCATAAACGTACATTACAGAAACACTCCCAGCAATTACACACAAAAATCCTCCCCTCTGCCTGTGATCTAATTATGGCACACAAAGCTTAACATAATTATCACAAGCAGGAAAAATACAGTTTTTATACATGTACTATAACTTTAAAACTACACATCCAATCTTCATAAAATTACATATTTGGAATCAGCACACTTTAAACATAAACATAACCAAAAATCAGCCAAATCCATACAGGGGTTAAAAGGTTAGCTAGAGGTCCCTTTATGACCGACCGCAAGCACATTTTCCTGCCCAAAACAGTTCCATAGATTTGGACTGTGCGGTCAGTCTATTTCAGGCTGAAATAACGACTAAGTCCCATCGCCGATTGGGACTTAGTCTCTGCAGCTGAAATCAGGCTGAAAAAAACGGTTGAAAAAAACGTCTAAGTACCATCGCAGAATGGGACTTCGTCTCTGCAGCTGTAAAATCATTGTGGGAGAAGGTAGAGCTCAGCGGTGTTCACGGAAATGTGTAGCCGATTTTAGTTCCGTGAATTTGGCTACACATACTGCTGACCTCGTTCGCATTAACAAAGATGGCCGCCGCCACGTGTTCGGCAAACGAACAAAGGCCACCCAGCATTGTCAATTAAGCTGCGGTTAACCACAGCTTCTGGGAGGTAAATTGCCTGCACACTTCCACTTCTGGGTGGTCTGCCTGTGGGGTACTTGGTTCAGTAAGCCCCATTTACTGAACCAAGTGGGAAATAGCCAGGCACAAAGGGTTTGAACCAGGTCTGGGGACACAGGGGACACCGTCCTAAAGGGGCAGTGTCCCAAACAAGTCTGGGGACACCGTCTTAAAGGGGCAGTGTGCCAATCTTCCTTATGTCCCAAAAGGTGTTTAAAGGGCCAGCACCAGTCCCATAAAGAGTCCATAAGCCCCAATATGCCCACTGGCTGTCTTAAAGGGCCATACACACTCAATAAAGGTGCATAAGTTCTCACAATCTCCCAGGGGCCATAGTCATGGGGAAGGAGGCTGGCAAATAGGCTTCTCCACAACCCAGGGAAGCAGGGCAATTTGCCATTTAAAGGGCCAGTTACAAATAGCAGTTTGTAACACATGGCATTATAGGAAAACATTGCACTGTTTGTTTGCTTTTTAAAACAGGGAAATGAACAGGATTATATCTTAAGTTTCAGAGAAAACAAAGGGAAACAATAGCTTTGCTCACAGATGGGCTTCACCTAGTAGTCACAATGAGAGTAACTGTCAGGCTAGGACTATACATTATAGAGTTGGGCTAATCATTCCTATCCCAAAATCTGACTACACAAGGTTATGTAATTAATATAGTTGTAAATATGCTACGCTAGGTGAGAGTAAAATAACTGAAAATTAATATACGCGTAGGAACAGGCTAGTTCCACATGTCTAGGCAGGAAAACACGTTTACCTTGAATTAAAGAGGCTAGCTAGGCATGTGGGTTAAGTCACAGTAAAATGTCACTAGATGTAGTAGTGTTGCAAGAGTGAGAAGCCACTTATCTGGGTCACTGTCATGTTCTGCATTACGAAGGAGATTAACTAAATGCTAAACACATAAATGAATGAAAAATAAAATCATCGCTCATATTGGGGAGAAGATCCTTAACGTGAACAGTTTCACCTCTCAGCTCAGTCCCAGTGTCCTGTTCAGCCTATACCCTCCAAGGGCAGTGCACAGTCACGTAATAAAGAAGCAAGCTGTATGCTATGTGGCCAATTGGACTGGTACTGGACTCCTGCCCGGCTTGGGGTTCCCCTCGAGAGCACCAACTTGCGAGGTCTGCCTCTGCTCCGCTTGGGTGTGTGTCTGTGCTGTCTTGTGCTGGAGGGTCGTGTGGTTTTTGATTCTCTGCCAGGGTGAAGCTATGGCTGCTAGTACAGCCGAGGACCGTGATGGGCGACTCCAAGGTATGTATTTACCGTTTTGCGGAGGAGCAGCTGTGCCTCCCAGTGAGGCCTTTATCCCGCCCCGCCGCCATGTTGAGGCTCGATGCATTGCCGCAGCTGTGAACTTCAGCTGAATGGTTGGATTCGGCTTGTGCGGTGGGTGGTCGTCCGGGTGGTTCAGAGCTGGTTGGCACATTCTGTTTTCTAGCTTGCACCAGAAATCGTCGAAGATACGGTCTAGCCTGGACAGGATATCATATTTGTCTTCAGGGTTGCCGGGGGCACCCGCAGCGTCCGCCATTTTGGGCATGTCGCCATAGTTTCCAGGAGTTGGTATGGCTTTCCCTCCATTCCACCATCTCAGGGCGTCCTCCAAGGGGTGGACCGGGATTACCCCCACCAGTCCTAGGGGGGGTAACGGGGCTCCAGTTCAGTGCTGGTTGCCATCGAGCAGTCTTGGCTCGGGAGATTGGCCGCCTCCCCTGTCCGGTGCACGACAGGCTGCATGGTTAGAGCTGTACCATAGTTTCGCCTCCTAAACTCTTTATCGCCCTGCATTGGGTCTCCGGTGAGTCAGGGATTGTGTAAGCCGCTCCCACTGAGGCTGAATGAGGGTTAAAACTGCAGTTTTGGCTCGTGGAGGAGAGGACCTCAAGCAAAGCACGTCTCTCCTCCATGACAGTCCGAAAATAGTATTTTTAATATTTATCACCCCATAACTATCCTCACAGGTTGCACCATTTCTATGGGATAATCTACTATGTTCTATTAGACTTTCTACCTAGCCTCCAGTCCTTTAAAGTGTTACTTGATGCAAAATGATCATTTCAGTAATTGGACATGATAGTGGTGCCTGGAGTTTGTATGTGCAGTATTTGAGAATGTAGTTTAACTCCTTTGTAATTCCACATATGGCAGCCGTTCCAGGATGGCTAATGTCAACTCTGTGCAAATATACCTGCACAGGGTCCATTCATTGGCTGAGAGTGGCCAAGTGATGTCCTCAGCCAATGAATGACGAATCGATTTCTGCAGAAGGCTGAAGCACATTACCAGCACTGAAAGTAGCCTTGGTGCCTAGGTAGGAGGGCAACATGGTTTGCTAAATGATTCCTGTTGAGAGTTCCAGCACTCTACTGTCAGAGCATTGTCACAGGTTACCACGGCAATGCTCCGATAATATCATTGATAGTGCCAAAGTGTAAAACAAGTCTATATTTTTGAAATTCGATCTCATGGGGTGTTAAATAAGTTCATGTTAACTCTTTATTTAACTATTTTATCGCCAATCTCTGTCGAAACTGCTTGTTAAATTCATATGTTTTTATTTTAGACACATTTAATTTTTGTGGAGAATTTCAAGGCAGGATGTGTCTCACAACTATACAGATCCCAGATTTGAATTCTGGTACTATCCCTGAGCACAGCAGTACCCCTTATATAGACCTTTGCCAGAATTTTGAGAAAGTATAGGGTCAAATTTCAGATAATGCAAATTTCAGTATTCAAATTTTCACAACCCCCAGCTACACTTTGTCCACATAAAGACTTATCATTTGCAAAAAGAAAATAATAAGCGATATTTAATATACAGGATTTTGAGTCTTTGTTGTTTCTGCAGTTCCATTACCAATGTCTACCAAATGTAATAGTCTATTATTTTTTCACATATTTATTGAATTTTAATTATATATTTTATATTTGTGTGTTTTACAACTTCAAACAACCCTGATTTATATTATGTTATATATGAGAAACACCCCACATTTAAAGATTTGGCAGGTTTTTTGGGGATTTAAAAGGTTGAAATTCAGGCGTGCTCTAAATTTGACATACTTCATTTCTTGAATGCCAGAAACACTCTAAGTGTTACAGTAACCGGTGTCAAATGTTGATGCTGTTTCTAGCCATAACCTTACTAACTGTAACCTTTGCAATCCCTAACCATCAATGAGTGATTTCCAACCCTTTTTGGCCCATGCAGACTTCAGTGCAAGGCACAGCATTTGTATGCTTTTTTTTACTTTATCAGCAGCTTATAAATATCACATTTGCATGAAGACTCACAGGAGAGATATTCATACGTCTAGCCAAATCAAGTTATTAGTTTTAATTAATTTTCAGATGGAAATCTCAATTTTAACTCTTATGCTTATCAGAAAACATATTTTAAGGACTGAATTCAACCTATTTACTTTCGTGAAGTCAATGTTTTTGGCTTGAGGCACATCAGTGCATAAGGGTATATTGGTTGGCCACCACTACCCTAAATAATTATAATACTAGCTATACTTCTAGGGGACTGTGATCAAAAATATGACAATTAACCTTGTAAAATTTAACAACAGGGCAACATATTAATGGACTTCATTTCCCATCATGCAAAGCTGGCAAAAACAAAAGAACAACACTAAAATCTAACCTGCAAATAATGGCTAACCTTGGTACTACAGATGTTTGTGCACTACATATTCCATAATGCTTGGCCAGCTGAAGATCTGAGAAAAATCACATGTATGCAACTATGTATTACAATTACAATGTGACAGCATACGGAAAGCATATTTGTAGTGTGTTTATGCATAATGAGTGTGACTCCAATTAGTTGTAATATTTGTTTGTAACAATGGATAGGCAGGTAGTAGTATATGACTAGGTGAAAGTAGATTAATTGGTATGTGACTGGCTGAGGGGCCAAGGTGTTTAGCTGGTTGATAGTTTGTATAGGTTATGTGATGAGGTGGGTGTGGGTTTGATACATACAACAATATTAAATAGTTAATTGGGTATGAGAGTGGGTGCGCTATTGTGACTGCATGGATGGGGGTAGAAAGGAGACCTAAAATGAAACTGTAATTTCTCTAGGGTGAGGGGACAAGGAAGTTCCTTTTTTCTCTCTAGTAAAAGCTATTGAAGTGTCTTCTGTAGTGAATAAGGCACTAGATGTGTGCATGGTAAGAAAATTCTGCTAACATTTATTAAATATATATTCTTCTTAGACATATATGCTCTAGAATAGACTGATTTATCAGCTTTGATATAAGCTTCTTGCCCCTAGAATCTTTCCCAATAGCTCCGAGTAGTGTGATTGTATAATGTCAGAGCCAAGTCACCCATTATGTACCCTGGGTGTCTGCCTAGGCAGGTGAAGGGATTCTGCCTAGAGCTGGTAAAAGGAGGTTTTAAAAAGAGCAGTCCAAATAATTTAAACAAACTAAAATAAACTAACAAATATACAATGAGGGATGCAGACAGTCTATACATGCATACATACATACATACACACATACATACATCCCTCCTTCACAAAAACACTCCACCTGCAGAAGGGATGCAGATATGCATCAGTACTAGGAATACTAGAACACAGCTTGCCTCTGTTCCTTTGCTGTGTAGGCCAGTGATGTATCGTGCGGATACATTAAATCATAGCCTTGCTTTCTTCTTCACTAGGCTCCTTCTCATTCTCAGCAAAAGTTTGGTCTGGGGAGCAGATTTAGGGACCTGAAGACACACATACAATAGCTCCTTCATGACACTGAGTAGTCCCATTTGATTACATGGTGTAGCTATATGTTATTGCCACTAGGAAGCTGTCAGTGTAATTGGAACTATGAAGATGGAGGTGATTGGAGAATTATGGGACTTCAGGTGATTGTTGGAATGGGAATATTGCATGTATAATGCAATATGATGAAAAAATCTGTCTATGCAGATTGGGGACAGAAATGAAGGAAATAATGAAGGAACGTGGTTAAAAAGGCAAAGGTTATATGGATATGTAGTAATGAGAATGATTAATATTGTTCTGGTGGGCATGTGGTGATGTGCGATAGGCTATAGAGACATGGGTATGGTTATAATGATAAGGCAATTGGGAATATGGCTTATGTATGATGAGGGTAGATAAGATTATCTCTAATAACCAGTACAGTTTATTATATTGGCTATGGTACTATAACAATGTCACTGCAATCTTATATCAGAATATATAGTAGACATTTGCAGACAAATGTAGTACTTATATCATTCTCATTGTTCAATATTCTAAGACTTTTTATGCCATATACAATACAGCTCCTCTAATAAGCAAAATTAGCTCTCCTGAATACTGACATACCACATATTTTAACTCTAAATTTAATAAAAAAATGGTAAGTGAAATGTGCAGCCCGTTCATTGGCAATGAATGTGTTACATGGTATCACACAGAGAAGAATTTATTAAACAGGATGCGATATTTATAAAACTGACAAGTAAATTGGAAGAAGAGGGGTTACAGGACTCATCTCCCTGATGTGAGGGAGGAATCCAAGGGGATTGATGCAAGACCTTTCAACCCAAAACAAAAGAAATGACAAAGCATTAGACAGCAGCTCCCCAGGAGAGGTGGGTTTTATTTTAGACATGCTTTGTAAAAAGTGAAAAGTCAAGAAATTGGGCGGATGAATTGATCTACAGATTAGAAGCAGGAGATCTGCAGAGATACAGGAAATGTGTCTGTCAGTGGAACAGCTCGAGCGGAACTAAAATGACCAACACGTATGGGGGTTAATTCAATAAAAGTTACAGTAACATGTCGCTAGGTTCGGCAAGGTTTAATGAACACACACCAAGTGCATCAAGGACCCTACAGTTTTGCTCTCATGCAGCCTCTTTTTCTGATGATTTTTCTAAAATGAACCAATAGTTCTTGAAGTAGGATAAACTGTTTATGATGTTCCTGCCAGGGCCAGATTAAGAGCGCAGTGGTCCTGGTGCTGACAATTATGACGGGGCCTAATTACAGAATCTTATTGACCAAAAACACTAAAACAATCATACCTCTCAAGAGTCATGTATCTGATGGAGTTGGTATTGGAGGGAAACTCAAAGGATGCACCTATAAGAAAAATTATACTGTATGCTAATCTCTTTATCTAATTTATGATTTCACCTTTCAAGTAAATCCATACCCCCTAACAGCATTGTCCAGTGAAGCAGGAAGTTAATGGGTGGGGTAAAAGGGTGGGCCACTGACGCGAATCACGTGACCAGAACTGCCAAAAAGGGCGAACATGCCCAAAAAGGGGGCATGTCTGTCCAAAGAATTGAAACGCCAGCCTTGCATCAGTGTCCCTATGTATAACAGAGTCAGTGTCCCCATGTTGCCCAGTCCCCTAGCCTCCCTGTGTCTGTGTCCTGATTTCTCCCATTGTCCCCATGTCTCAGTGTGTCCCGTGTCACTAGGATACTAAGGGACACTGAAATATATGGGGACACTGAGAGACCCAGGGACACTGGGAGACATGGGGGCACTTG